AGTTCTGTGCTGGACCTCTAGGGCGGTGCTAATCTAGCCTTTGCCTGAGGCTATCCGGCAAATGCCTCTGTGCAGGGCTTGGGCGGGGCAGGTCCCAGGGGATCTACAGGGCGGACGGGCGGGGCGAGCAGTTATGGCTGCTCTCAGTTCCTTCCCCAGCAGCTCTGCAACCACTGCAAACCCAGGAGAGAAAGCTGCCTTCCCGCTTCTCCCGTTTGAGTCTGGGTCCCTAGAGACTCGCCCGGATCTGGAGCTCAGAGTCTGAAACTCCCTCCCGATTGAAAACAACAACCCCGCCCTCCGCCGCCGGCCCGCTCCACATGCACTCCGCACCTTAGTATTTCACTTCAGCACTGCGCCTCCTCTGAGTCTGGGTATGGTTTCCTCTTTCCTCCTAGTTGTAGAACTTCCACTCAGCCAGCCTTCCTGTGGTTCTGGATGATGTCCGTTCCGTCTTTTAGTTGTATTTTTGAAGTGGTTGTTCGAGGCAGCAAACTCTGGCGTTAACCTATGCCGCCATCTTGGTTCCGACAGCAAACTTTTTTATAACCAGAAGAGTATTCTTTTTTTGTTTCTTTATTTTTATTAAATTTATTGTGGTGACATTGGTCAACATGAACATATAGGTTTCAGGTGTGGGTTTTTGTGTTATAAGATCTGTTTATTGCAGCACCATGTGCCCACAACCCAAAGTCAAATCTTATACTGTCACCGTATATTAGGACCCCTTCCCCCCCCCCAGAAAGAGTACACTTATAACAATAAAAAGTACCGTATAGTAAACACATAAAGCAGCAACATATTTATTTATCATCAAGTATTATGTATTGTACATAACTGTGTATGTTTTACTTTTATACAATGGCAGTGCAGTAGGTTTGTTTATACCAGCATCACCACAAATAAGTGAATAATGTGTTATGCTATGATGTTATGATGGCTACGATGTAAGTGATAAGAATTTTTCTGGTCTGTTATAATTTTTATGGGACCATCATCATATAGTCTGTCATTGACCAAAATTTTGTTATACTGTGCATGACTGTATACATAAAGCTTTAGGAGTAAAGGGATAGCCATTAAGTTAATCTTTGAAGGATAAATACAGGGTTGTAAAAGGCCTTTAGGGTTGGAAAAACATAAGTAAAGTACAAGAACCAGAAACTTGGAGACCTTTATTTTTTTAATGTATTTTTATTGATTTCAGAGAGGAAGGGAGAGGGGGAGAGAGAGAGATAGAAACATCAATGATGAGAGAGAATCATTGATTGGCTGCCTCCTGCATGTCCCCTACTGGGGATTAAGCCCGCAACCTGGGCATGTGCCCTTGACTGGAATCAAACCTGGGACCCTTCAGTCCGCAGACCGACACTCTATCCACTGAGCCAAACCAGCTAGGGCACTTGGAGACTTTTACATGTTTGACTGGAATGTAGAGTGTTTAGAAGGGAATGATGGGAAGCGAAGCTAGTAGAGGAGGGTAGAAGCCAGATTGTAGAGGGTCTATATTGTCATGCCTGTAAAGCTTGTACTGTGCAAACTTTTAAGCAGAGAAATGATGTGTTCAGAGTGGTAATATTACAGTAAGGAGACATTAGAGATGAGGAGAAGGAATCATGGTAGCCTTCCACATGGAAATGAACTAGACCAGCGATTTTCAACTGGTTTGCCACAAGAATTTTTAAAACATGCAGTACTATGCCCGGCTGTGTGATTCAGTGGTTGAACGTCGACCTATAAACCTGGAGGTCACGGTTTGATTCCTGGTCAGGGCACATGCCTGGATTGCGGGCTCAAGCTCCAGAGTGGGGTGTGATCAATGATTCTTTCATCATTGATGTTTCTTTCTCTCTCTCTCTCTCCCTCTCCCTCTCCTTCTTCTTCTTCCTTCCTCTCTCTCTGAAAATCAATTTAAAATCTCTTTTAAAAGTGTTAAAAACAAACAAAACAAAAAAAACATGAAGTACCTGACAATTTAGTCAAGGGCACTGACCTCTTTTCCCCTTAGATTGTCAAATAAAATTGACAACAGCCAATACAACAATAGCTGTCTGGTGTGAATGAATCAAAATTATGCCTTTCATTTTTGTCAGATAGGCAAAAATTATATTTTTGGTGTGCCACAGAATTTTAGTAATTAATTCATGTGTGGGAAAGGTTGAAAATCACTGAACTAGACCATTAACATTGGGAAGGTAGAGAGATTGAGATAAAGGATGGGTGGTTATAAAGACTCAGTAAGAGTGGATTGCTCAGCATGTTGACATGCATGAAGGAGATCCACAGGCATCATAGTACCTGCCTAAGCACCTCCCTTGCACTGCATTAATTTTTTTCTTTTTCTTTTTTCTTTTTTTTTTTAGCTAAAGTAAAGGTTTATTACAGAAAAGCTCCCTGCTGCAGGGAGAGGACCCGAACAGATTGCCAGGGCAGTTCCTTTGTCTAAGGGTTAATAATATATGACCTGCTAACTTTCCATTGGTTGGTTAGAAAAATTCGACCCTAGCATCATCCTTATATTTTAAACTTCAGGGTTCCCACTCATTTCTCCCCTCCCCCCGGCCCTGCATTAATTTTAGAACTTGCCTGGTCTCTGGTCCTCAGGTACCTGGTATCACTGGGTTGCATCAAACCCCTTTGTGATTTGCTGACTGTAATGGATTCAAAGATTGTTCAAGTGGCCCTCAATGGACTGGAGAACATCCTTCGGCTTGGAGAACAAGAGAGCAAGCGCAGTGGCTCAGGAGTAAATCCCTACTGTGGCCTCATCGAAGAAGCCTATGGTATGTGTCCTTTCCCAACATTATCTCTGACTTAAGTAGAGAGGTTATAGGTCAGAGTCTCGGGACTGTACGCCTCCAAAGTAGTACACATATGTGAAGGTGTATGTTTAGAGTCATCATTGAATGCAAGCTTCTATCTCATCAGTTCCTTCTTCCTCTCAGGGGCAGTAGATCAGTTCTCTTTCAGATGGGCTCTACCCAGCAAGTAAGTATAATACAGATGCAAAAAGAAAGCTCCAGAACTGATAATAGGACCAGGCACTGGAAGGCATATTTTTAGCTGAGCTTATAGCAAGTTCAAGCAAAAGTACAAGATGGACTCATCTCAGAGATTCAGAGAAGTAATTAAAAGCAGAATCAGGCCCTAGCTGGTTTGGCTCAGTGGAAGAGCATAGGCCTGCGGACCAAAGAGGGCCAGGTTCGATTCTAGTCAAGGGCACATGCCTGGGTTGTGGGCTCGATCCCCAGTAGGGGGCGTGCAGGAGGCAGCTGATCAATGATTCTCTCTCATCATTGATGTTTCTATATCTCTTTCCTTCTCCCTTCCTCTCTGAAATCAATAAAAATATATTTTAAACAATAATTTAAAAAATAAAAGCAGAATCAGGACTAGAACCTCTGATTTATAACTGACATATGGTATTTTTCCTTTGGGGTTATGTAGTTTGGGAGGGAAATCTTGGCTTTCCTCTTTCAGGTCAAAAAATAAAGATTCGATCATATTGCTTGTATTTATAAACAGGAACATACCTCGGGTAAAGGAAAATAGAAAAGCACTTATGAAAGTTGACTCTCCCTCCTTCCTTGTTACCACCGTAGGCTTGGATAAAATTGAGTTTCTCCAGAGCCATGAGAACCAGGACATCTACCAGAAGGCCTTCGACCTCATTGAGCACTACTTTGGTGTAGAAGATGATGATAGCAGCCTGGCTCCCCAAGTGGATGAAACACAACAGCAGTTCATCTTCCAACAGCCTGAGGCCCCCATGGAGGGCTTCCAGCTATAATGTCTGCCTCCGGGGAGGGGATGGGATGGGAAGCACCACCAACCAGCGGAAAAGCAGCCCTCTGGTGGGCGGGAAACCAGCCCCCCACCACCAGCCACCACACACCTCTGCTGCCCTGGAAACTGTGCTCTTGACCTGCTCCACCCCCTTCCCTTTGAGGGAGCACCCTCTGGACAGACAGAACCATCTGAGGCTCATATTTGGGTTTTGTGACAAGAAGGGGACGTGTTGGGTTTTTCTTCCTTACACTCTATTTTGGCTGCACATATGTCTTTAACCCAGGAGCCCAGGGTAGACAAAGGAGGACTGAGGTAATCAATTTTGCACCTTTTTTATGTTTATTTTTTCTTTAGTAGTGACTTCCTTCCCTTTTATCTTCCTTCGTCCTTCCCAGTTCTCTGCCCTGATTTGTGTAACTCTTATCTTGGGTACTTGAGCAGATGGAATATTCCAGAAGTAGGGGGTGGGAGGGGAAGAGAGAAATCCCAAAAAAGTATTCTCACTCTGACAGAATATTAATCTTGTATGCTTGGATTGAGTTATTTAATTTTTTTCTTTTGCACATTTTTCTTGTATTAAGGTTGCTCTTTCCAAGAACCATGAGTTCCTGGTTTTAGGAATCCCAGCTGCCAGCATTGTCTGGGACTAGAGGCTGAGGGGGAGGTCACCATAAGACAGGGCCCTTCCCCCCACCCCTCTCTAATCTCTGCCCAGACCTCTTTAGTTTGGGAGATCCCCCTCACTCTCCTGGGCAACTACACCAGTGGGAGTGGAGGGGAGGAGCACAGGCCTTTCAGACGGGGCTTCCCATGTGTCGCTACTGATCCCATGTTTCCTACCCACCTTCCAATGGTGCGACCCAACTTCATTTGTTTACTTGAAAATTCCCCTCGGAGCTGAATGAACCTCTGAGGTAGCTGTATTTTCTCCTAAGCACGAGACAGGGGGCTGTGATCCTTCCTTTCTCCTGAGGAGAAAGTCCTTGCTCTGGTGACCCATAAGTTGCAGAGGAGGTTGGAGTGAGAGTGTCATGTATTGGGATAGCCAGGGATCCCTACCTTTTGGCCTTTCTTCCTCTTCCATAGTTGGATCATGTATATTTTATTTCCAAAGGAGAGAATGTCAAAAAGTTCTGTATTTTTTTATATTCTATATATTAGGTAGGTCAATCTTAATTGGTCTTGAGAGGAAGAACTGTAATTTCTGTTAGTAGGGTACTGTGAGGAAGACCACAAAGAAATGTGGAAGCTCCCTCAGGAGGCCTGAGCTTGGTCCTTTTCTTCTCTGCTTGGATTCTGGGCCACCACTGGGGACCAACCCTTAGCTCTGGAACCTTTATGTAGCATGTCAGCCTGGTCTGATTGTCCCAGTACCTGAAGGAAGCAAGGATGACCCAGGGTGTGGTGAAGTATAACACTCTAATCTTTCCTGTGAGCATCCTGCTTGCATCAGAAAACCCAGAAAGTGTCTGCCTTCTTAGATTTGGTCTCAAAAGACCCTTGTTCACATAAGTTATCACTCATGGCTGACTTTCCTATTATCACAGAAACTTAGCAGCCTCAGGACTTTTGTGAGAGTTATCGATATCTTCCCTGTTTGGGATCCTTGTACCTGGTTTGGGTTTTGCCCTTCCTTGTGACAGTTATAACCCTAGTGTCTTTTTTTCTTTTCTCTTTGAATAAAGCTAGTGCAGTGCCACAATGGCTTGCCTGTGCTTTTGTGAATTACATATGAGAGCAAAGCCCAGTGGTTGAGGATGGGGGGGAGGAAGTTGTCAGATAAGTAAGTATAGACCAACATTGAGAAGGCACAATCTGCTCTGCCCCTGCTTTCCTCCGTGGTCAGTCAGTCAGTCAGTCAGAGGTGCCCTGCTCTAAGCTGTATTTTCCCTTCCCCAGAAACAGTGCCATTCTTGCTTCCATTCCTACACATCCCTGGCTCAGGTGAAATCCATGCCCCTCTGCCTACAGGTCTAAGATTCAGGTGCTCACTGTCAGCCTTGAATTTGCCTTCATTCTGGTTTGAGATCCAACTCCATAGCCATTTTCTGAGAAAGGTGGTTTGAGGCTATAGCTTGTCACTAAAGGTGTGTCAAGGCCAGCTGAGGTGTATTTATCCTTCCTCTTTCCTGAAAGAGGAAAGCCAAGATTTCCCTCCCAAGATGCTACTCTTCAGCTTAGGAATGTGACTCAACCCCCAGTCTCCCAGGTAGGCAAGAGGCAGGACCTTTTCCACTTGGCCTGCTGACTCCATTACAAACTATTCTATAGTTCAAAGAAAAACTCCACTCTCACCCCTACCCCCCATCCTTGTCCAAAGGGGAAAGAAAGCACTTTAGTGGGATCTACTTTGTACATCTTAAGCAATAGTTAAGTCCCTGACATTGGGACCAAATTCTTACTGTGAGACCTACACACCCTGCTTTTCCCAACTATTCCTCCAAAATCTACTTTCCCTTCAGATCTGGGCCCTGTACCAGATGGAAGACTTGATCCTCTGGCTGCTGCTTAAAGCCAGTTTTCCTCAAAGGCTGAAGTCTCCCAGGGCACAACATGAGGACAGATTTCTCATCAGCTCAAAGTGGCCTCTCGGAGCTTTCCTTTGTTAGTGTCTTCCTCAGACCATGTTTTCCCATGATCTTCCTCTAACCCCTCTCCGTCAACAGGCGAAGTTCTTCCAGCCGCAGAGGCAGTGTTTCTTTTGTGTTTCTCCTCTCCTTTGGCCATCTTGGGAAGCAAAGTAATATTTCTTTAACCCAGGCTTGACAGCCACTCTTCATGGACAGCTCCCATCTGGACTCTGGACCCTGGCCTAGGTGAGGTCAAAGGCTTTCAGGTAGATTTCTGAATGGGTGTTGCAGGGATGGAGGGACTGCCAGGCTGCTATAGGGAGTAGCCTGATAAGACATGTTTTGGAATCTTCATATGTTGACACATGACTGGTATGTCCACTTTAAGATCTCTGGTGGGGATGGAGGTTCCTAGGTGTGGAATAAGGGGATAAGGAGCCTTTTTCTTAGCTAAAGTATTCAAATACTGTTTTGAACAGTGCCAGCTATTCTTTATTGCCAGCCCCTCTTCATCTTCCAGTACTAACAGGGCCTCTTGTCCTAGAAGCCTGCCCACATTTCTAAGGTCTCCCCAGTGACTACCTGGTCTTGGTGTTGGCTGCACCTTCTGATAGAACCACATGGGTTCCACCTCAGCTGGCCAGCCTGGTTACTTGGGTCCTTGGGTACAAATGGCCCTTCCAAGGAGCAGGTGTTAATGACTTCCGCTTTCAGGAGCCCTTGGTGTTCCCCATTACCTACCTAGGACCCTTAGGTCTACCTCCTTCTACTTATTCTCCTTGCTCTGGAAGCAACTTTCCAGAAGCCCAATTTTTTGGAGCTGAACTGCACAGAGTATAGCTGCTACTATAATTAGTCAAGGAAGAGCAAAAGAAGGCTCTCAGGCACAGACTTTTCTCTCAAGCCAAACCAGCTTAAAAGGAAAAACGGTGTACAGAATGAAATGGATTTCCATTTTCATGTCTGCTTGCCTTCCCCTTCATCCTAGAGTTACTCCTGTTTCTAGCATAATAGAAGGGAAGATGAATGCCTGGCAGTACTTCCCTCCTCATTCCACATACCCCTCTTTGAATGCCTCAGCTCATATGTTGTGGCTACATACCCTCTCCCAAGACTCACTCAGCTTGGTGTCCATCATCTTGGGTATTCCTTTGTAGATTTGTCTTGTGGGCTCAGATTCTGGATTCTCAAATGAAGGTAGGAAGCCAGATTCTCCAGGTCCCTATAGGCCCTACAGGGACCTGTAGGATAAACAGGCTGCCTGGGGACCTCAGGAATGTGTGCGACTGCCTGCCTCCCTGGCAGGCTGGGGAAGGGTGCCAGGCCCAATGCCACAGGAAAATGCTCATAACCAGTCGCAACATCTTCTACACGTGAGTGTGAGACTGAGAAAATGCTCAGAGTAGGTTTCTTCCATAGCCGTTTTAGGATTCTAGACCAATCTTGTCCAGTATTGTTTCTGGGTCTTAACTTTTGGATTCTTTTGTTAAACCAACAAGCTGAGATTTTGACCCTGTGGGGATTCATGTCATAGGCACTAGCTGCTCTTTGGCCAAGGCCTTCACAAATGATTCAGTAATCCTTTTGTCTATCTGCCAGCCTCGGATTAAGACCATAGCAAGGGAAGAATTTGAGGTCAGCACCAACCAAGTCTGAATTAAAGCTGTTATATTTCCTTTGGGGGCATTTTGCCTCAGGCCTGGGCTATTTGCAGCATTAAATTTTGGGCTCAACACCACAGGAGAAAGATTTGTGTAGTGTTACAAAGGTTTGTGTAGTTTGGGCCTACCTCGCTATTTCTGGGCCAGCCTGACTGCTGATATCCACGTTAGAACATACCTGAACCCCTTTGCTAAATGCTAGATCCCTGCGCCCCTCTGTAGGTCAGATTTTCAGCCCCTGGGTTTTAGGACAATATCTTGCCATTCCCTGGGAGTAGTGAAGGAAGTCAAATCTCAGATCCTGAGGCTGACTGGGAACCTCTGACTCAGGATGGCTTTAGAGAGTCCACATCTATGAGAACCCTCAGGCCCTGTAGTTGGGTATTGACTCTTTAGCCAACTTTTGTGGGAACTGCCTTTGAATGAGCCACTACAGAAGCGAAGGTGGTGTGAGGTCCCAGCCACCCAAAACAAACCAGATGTCCCTCAACAGCAGCTTGGGTTCCCAGTACAGACCCTGCAAAGGTGAATCGAACCCTTTTTCTCACTGGTTTTCCTTTCCAAATTCATTTGCTTTTCATTTTCCAAGAACTGTAAACTCTGGCTATTTTCTATGTTCTCAGGGCCCCTGGGTAGACAACAAAGCTTGATTTCAGAGCAGACATAGGCCAAGAAACCATGGCATTGAGTGTGCTGAGTCCAGACAAATGATATTTATATACACATCCAAATTTGAAGAGAAAATGTATTTCTTTAGGTTTCAAACACTGTAATAGAAATAAAGCAAAAATAAAAATCTGTTGCAAAGTTCTAAATTGTCTTCTTTGGGATTCTTCTAGAATGGATTCTTGTGATGTGAATGGGAGAACATGTTTAAACCTGTGACTTAACAGTGGAATTAAGAATTGGTAACAGCCTACTCCTGCTATAAAGATGTTTTTAAAAATCAGCTTTATTGAAATATAATTGGCATTAAATAAACGGCACATATTTAAAATGTACAATTTGATAGGTTTTGACAGATATGTAACCATGAAAGCATCACATCAATGAAGATAGTGAACATATCCATCATCTCTAGAAGTTTCTGTGAGCCCCTTAGGAATCCTTCTCATCCAACCTCCAGCAACCACTGCATTCTGTCACTATAACTTAGCCCATTAAGGCCATACAGCTCACTGATTACTCGCTTTGGTTTAGATCAATTCCTAAAGCAAAGATTATAGACAAGCAGCCAAAAAATTGATTAACCCAAAAAGAGGATTTTGGTTAACTGATAGTGTGTTTCAGTTTTAATATGTTGCCAACATCCTATCCTATCTAATAAAAGACAAAAAGGGTAATTAACCGTGCCTCCGCTACGCTTCCCATTGGCTAATCAGTGAGATATGCAAATTAACTGCCAACAAAAATGGCGGCCGGCAGCCACGCAGCTGAAGCAAGCAGGAGGCTCGCTTGCTCCAGTGATGGAGGAAGCGAAGGTTCCCCGCCTGCTGCGGCCTGTTCTAAGCTCCGAAAGCAACAGCTCCAAAAGCAACAAAGTTTCGATTATAGAAGCCAAACAAACCCCAGATACCTGCTTTCAGCCAGCCGCGGCCTCAGAGCTGGAGCGAGCAGGACAGCAACAAAGTTTCAATTATAGAAGGTAAATAAATCCCACAATAAAAAAAAAGGAGAGGCTGGGAGCTTCAGTTGCCGGCCAGCCTGAAAACGGCCCTCAGCTCCTCACCCAAACTGGCCAGGCACCCCAGTGGGGACCCCCATCCTAAAGGGGGTGTGGCCAGCCTGAAAACAGCCATCAGCCCTTCATCCAGGCTGGCCAGGCACCCCAGCGGGACCCCCACCCTGATCCAGGACATCCTTCAGGGCAAACCAGCTGGCCCCCACCCATGCACCAGGCCTCTATCCTATATAGTAAAAGGGTAATATGCAAACTGACTCTAACAGCAGAAAGACTGGGAATGACTGGTCACTATGACACACACTGACCACCAGGGGGCAGATGCTCAATGCAGGAGCTGCCCTCTGGTGGTCAGTGAGCTCCCACATGGGGGAGCTCTGCTCAGCCACAAGCCAGGCTGACAGCTGCCAGTACAGCAGTGGTGGTGGGAGCCTTTCCTGCCTCCTCAGCAGCGCTAAGGATGTCCGACTGCAGCTTAGGCCTGCTCCCCGCTGGCAAGTGGACATCCCCCGAGGGCTGCCGGGCTGCCAGAGGGATGTCTGATTGTCATCTTAGGCCCAATCCCCCAGGGAGCAAGCCTAAGCCAGCAGGTGGTCATTCCCTGAGGGGTCCCAGACTGTGAGAGGGCACAGGCCAGGCTGAGGAACCCCCCACCCCCGAGTGCACAAATTTTTGTGCACCGGGCCTCTAGTTTTAAAATAGATAACTATCTTGAAAAATATCTGGCATTACCAGGCTTGAGTTTCTGCTTGAAAACAATCGGCAAGAGCTCTGGCCACAATCACCACCATTCTAAATGGTCTCCCTGACTCAATGGCAGGTTCTAATATTGTTGCTATTTTCTTTGGTAGCACAGGAGAAAGTAACTTTTTGACACATGATATCAGATTTATTTATTACTCTTAAAATAATTTTTATTGGTTTTAGAGAGAGAAAGAAACATAGATTTGTGGTCCCACTTATTTATGCATTCATTGATTGATTCTTGTATGTGCCTTGACTGGGGAATCAAACCCACAACCTTGGCATATTGGGATGACACTAGCCAACTGCACTAGCTGCTGGTCAAGGCCAGACTTTGTTATTTCTTGCCTGCTTATTCCACTTGATCCTTTTTGTTACACTGCTCCATCCCTCACTTTGTTGTTGTTTACTATGTTCTTTATCTGCCTAGAACACCTTCATCCTATGGAAATTCATCAAAGTCTGATTTATATATTGCCTCTTCAACAAATTTCCAACATGCTTTTCTGGAAATAATCAGGCCTTGGTTTCCTGTGATCTGGATTCCAAAACGTTCTGGGCTTGAGTTTCACCATTATTATACCACATTACCGCTCAATGTTACCTGGTAAATATGAACTTTTGCTGCCTAAAGGAAGGGAAAGACCACTGCCCAGGAGTCTCTTAACTGGGAAAAACACTTCATACCTTAGGAGCCCTAAAACAGCTCTGACCGATGTGGCTCAGTTGGCTGGGCATTGACAGGTTACCAGTTGACTCTTGATTAGGGCATATGCCTGATTTTCGGGCTCCATTCCCCAATAAGAGGCATGCAGGAGGCAGACGATCAATATTATGCTCTCACATGGATGTTTCTCCCCCTCCCTTCTCTAAAAATCAGTAAAATATGTTTATTTT